TTCGTAAAGAATGAAGTGACGGAAGAGCTTTCTGTGTGTTTTCTGAGTGCGGCGAACGATCAGTCGTTCAAGTAATCGGCCGTTCGAGCACTGCAGTTCGTTTCCACTGATGTGCCACTTTTGATTGCCTAGTGAATTTAAAATCGCATCCGCGTACATACATTTTCTATCTGCCACTAACGCCTTTCTCGCACTGCTATCAAAATGGCGATCATACCGATATTGTGCATTGTTAACGGCAAAAAAAAACCATTGAATATAAGCAAAATCCCATATGAATACGAGGCCAATTTTGGATGCCGCCTATTGCGATTGCAGCATGTTTCCTTTTCAACAAGCGAATCGTGCCACAAGACGATTATTTCAGATTGCGAATGATTGCTTTCGAAAATATACATTCTGATAATTCGTTGCAGAAAGAAGGCTATTGGAGTGATGCAGTAATGTCATCGCCAACACCACCACCTGTACCTAAACATCGTCATCAAGTGGAGTCCGAAGAACTTTGCGCATCGATCACAAATGAACTAGGTTAAACCCTTCAACATCTTTGATTAGATCTTCCCACTGATTCATTTTTGAAAAGTGTTGATTCTATTGAAGGAATTCTTGATGGAATTCTCTACAGAATTCTTGATTAGTTAGCTTATCGGCAACAGCTCTCGGTCACATGTAGTGGATAACGTCTTGAATATATTTACACTGCGCTCAAATCGCATTCCTATCGCTGCATTTGTCTAGATTTTATTTATATAGCAGTTTGCTTGATTGACATCACTGCGAAACAAATTGAAGTCGATAAATCTCGGAAGCGTTTGCCCATGAAAGCACCCATCTATTATTCATTCAGTGCCGTTTAGATAAGCCATACGGCGCTTTGTTCACGCACGTTTTTCATGATACAACATAACGGTGACTAATAGATTGTTTCCATCTCCATTCTCATTTCTTATCGGAATTAATGCCTGTAGGGTGAAATGAATAGATTTTCATGGTCTTGATTCAGCTGATCGCGATAGCATTCATAAATAAGTCAGTGTTGTTACTTCAATTTTCGGATCACTAGCTGTTTTGTTTTCAGCATTTAGCAGCACAGCCACGGAACCCGAATTTATTCGTCCATTCCAGAATGAATATACGGTGACTGAAGGCGAGAGATTCAAAATTGACTGCTTAATGATCGGTAATCCAAGACCAAAAGTTCATTGGTACTTCAACGATCGCACTATCAATATTAATTCGTCATTTTGCAAGGTGCTCTCGTTATACAATCAGTACATTGTCATAAAAGGAGCGCTTCCTTTTATTTTGTGTGCATGCACATCAATTTCGTGAATTGCTACGTGCTTTCAGTGATTTTGTCGAACGATTTTATCCAATCTCAAATGATAGGTTACCTGAAAAGGTTTTGTTTCAGGTACAAGATTGCTTCCTGAGTGAAAAGATCACAAGCAACTAATATTCAAGTGATGACATACCTAGACAGTAAATGTAGCTTCCCATGAGCTTATAATGTTAGATCCATGTTTCGAATAAGTTTGGAGTTTGAAAGTAAAGTGTTGCGTTGCTGAATCATCCAAGCGAAAAATAAGGCCATGCATAATTGCTCTTTCAACTGGCTATATGTGAGCCTGGAAGTTGTCGTTTCATTAGCGCAGCTTTCGTATGGATGCATTTCTTTCGAATATGACATGTTTACTGCATTCGAATTGCTCAAACTAGCTTCATCGTGCTTTTGTCACAAACGAATTGATTGTTTTCGTGCGCTTTTGCATAAATTTATTCCGCAGAAAGCATTCATCCAAGCAGTACTCAGTACTCGCCACATATGTTAGCCATACTCCGACAATTCGTTGCAATTGCACTGAATGCTATCTGACCATGAAAGCTATCTCCGAATGTGATGTTGATAAACGAATCGAGAAATTTGCAGTTCTCAAATATTGGTGATACATATTCGATCATTTTCGATCCGGTTAAACTCGAAAACGATGGTTTCTATAAGATGTCTGCCGAGAATGTTCGCGGCAAAACCGAATCGCTAACCATTCTCCATGTATTGCCCAGACCAACCAAGCCGCAACAAATCGTCAAGAAACCAGTAACCACTGAGGTTCAAACAAAACTATTCACTTGTGTTGTTGAATTTTTCACTAACAATAGGATCTATAAATAGCGCATTGCTTAAACGTCAGCCAAGATGCATCAAAATGTGATCTTCGTTCACATACCGAAGTAGCAAGTTGCGTCCAGCTCTCCACCATTCTAACAAATGTATT